AGACAAAGTTCCCCCCTCCCCAAATTAAAATGTACTCCTCCTTCCATCACTGCTCCCTTACCCTTCTTTATTTTTGTTCATAGCATTTGTTAGTACTTGACGTTTTTCTGTGCTAGAATATAAATGTCAGTTTTGTGAGGGCAGGAACTTTGTCTCATTCATTTCTGTATTTCAGTGCCCAGAATAATGCTTGGCACAGTCTGTTGGATGAGGTGTAATCTAGTGCTTGATTGGTTTTTATGTTAGCACTTGGGTAAATCATTAATAATGGTGTATTTATCAGATGTCTAGATAAGGTGGTGGTTATAGGTATATTATACTACATATTATATTTTTAAGGAATATTTGCAGGTATCAAGTCAGGTAAGAAAAGTCCTAACATCTCAAGGTCTGTTTCTTGACCCCTCTGACAAATGTCTAGTACACCTTCAGGTGTATTGCTCAGATTTACGTCTGGAAAGAGGTACCTTGGAACTGATTTTTCAGGACATTACCTACCAGTCACTGATATAGGTAGTCTTGTTAAAAACTGGGAAAACAAACAAACACAACAAACAAAAACAAAAAAACAAACGAACTTAAATTCAGGTAGATGTAGATCAGCCTTGATGAACTAACTTCCAGGAACAGACGTAGGAAAAGCCCAACTGGGCTTGGGAACTACTGTACAAACAGTTACTGGCACTGGAATTCCTTAACCTGCCCTATAGACATGGGTTACTTTTCAGCTTTTAAGGCATTGATCTAAATGTTTTACAGGCAGATCCAGTTCCTAATGGTTTGCGAGCTTTGCCAGTTTTCTATGCTTGCACGATTGGAATAAACCTGTTTTCCATCATGTATACTGGAGCACCTTGTAAGTACATATCAAAATATTTAGATGTGAATTTAAAGTTGTTTACAAAACTTGCATTAAATGCCCAATTTACCCCTTTTTGCTTTACAGGGCTGAAATCTCCTAGAAGGTGGCTGGCCTGCACCCATTTCAGAAGGCTGCAGGCTAGTGTATGCTGAGTTAACCTAGATAGTTTTTCAACCAGAGAGACCTGCTCAGATTTTAAATCACTACAGACCTTTACTCTTTAGTCTTCACAGGACCCAAGATAATATGGTCTTCTCCCTCCCTTTCTCCTGTCTATGCTAAAAATACTGGCATTGGTACTGGCCACAGCTGCTGGCTGCTAAAGAGGCCTTAGTTATGTCTGGTCTTCAGTAATCAGCCATTAGCACTGGTTTGCTGGATATTCTCATTTTTCTCTCCCAAATGGAGCTACTTTGGTTTCTAAGTACTAAATTTACTCCCCTGAACCTGCTTGAATGAGAAGAGTTGGGATGTTTAACACCTGGTCTAAGTGCACGTGGAAGAAGAAGTCATGCAGCTAAGAGGAAAAGTAATTTGTGAGAATGTAAAAATTGAAATGTTACTTTATGTTGGGGTAGGGCAATTATGGATTAAATTATGCATGTTTAATTTAGCAACTGAAAAAGATTAACAACTTGTAACTTGTCGGGCAGGGCTGTACCTGCCTTGATCAGCTTAGTTGTGCTGTCTAGGTTCATTCTGCATGAGGGTCTTTGACCATTAAGTCAGTGCTCTTGATCTTTTGACTGATGCACTGGAAGAAATACATGTACGGTGTTGCCCAGAACACACGTGCATATAGCGAGGAGAGAGGAAAGGGAACTGGAATAGTATTTGGAGTAGTATGTGACCTTACTGTGTGCTGTGCACTCATATTTTCAAATATTCTTTTTTTAAAAATACTTGTGGCCCATTTAGTTGATTTCATTTCTGACTAATGTAATTACCTCACTGAAGTAATGTCAGTATTCAAAAGTAGAGTTAGCTAAGTATTTTTAACAGTTGTCTTTATTCTTGTAATAGTTGGGAGGAAATGGACAACTTCATGAGAATATTGATCTTCCTTAGAGCATACGAAACCCCTTAGCCAAATGCTGCAGGCAAAGAAAAGATTGCATATATTATTTTCATTGTTTTAAGTTGGGTGCTTCATGCTAACCTAAGAAGTTTCCAAGAGGCTCTATGCACTGGTGCTTTATGTAGCAGCAGCAGAGCTCGTAGTTCAGTGAAATTTAGAAACTTACAGTTTCAGTCATTTTTGAAAAGGGAACTTGGATATTTTTGTTCCGACATTTTTGGATCATTAACAAAAAAGTCTCATTTCCACTTTTTGACTTGGAATGTGAGCAGATTTAAATTGTGATGGAGATTGATTGAATTTCATGTATATTTTAGTTTGTGTGACTTAACTACACATCGAGCTTGATAGTAGGAATTAAAATGAAAAGATTTATAGTCACTATAAAACTTGCGTTTTGAAGGGTCCTCAATTTATATATGATTTTTTAAATAGTAATTGTTTTTGAGGCGGCAGTAGAATTTTCACTTTATAAGTAATTTAATTCCTAATAAGCAAAAGAAAGCAGAACAACCATAAGTAACTAGGCTCTTCTTGGACAAACGAAATCATAACGTCTTTTTATGCTTAAATTAGGTTCTATGGTGTTCTGCTTCTGTCATCAATAATATACTAGAGGCTTGGAGCCTTTTGACAGTTCAGTGATAAGCAGATGGTGACTAATATTAATGATCCCTGAGCCTTACGAAAAAGTAGACAAGTTGAGAGTGAAACTCCCACTGAACTATTTTCCTTTTGTGAGGGACCCCTGTCTTCTATATCTTAGTTTGATGAATTTAAGAGAGAACCTTGTGTTAAAGGGGTTTGCAGGAAGGTAGTACAATGGCTGTGATAACTCCACAGAGAGTTATATCAATGTACATGTGATTACAGGCACCTTCCTATGGAGTGTGCACAGCCACCATCTGGAGGCTGGGGAGTAGGGTGATTCAGTTTTTTTCATAACGAGTTTTAGATTCTCAGAGTATAGTACTCTCCATCATTGCCTAAGGCAAAGAAAGGGAAAAGGCTAGTTTGTGAAGGCGCTTGGGAGACGTCAGTCTAGCAGGCATTTAAAGTGGGCCGGGCTGGTGTGGGTTTCAGATGACAACTGGATTTTCTTTCCAAGTCTGTACAGCCACGAGCACAGTAGATCCTGTGGACCTAAAGCTGGCAGCTGCTGTGAGGGTGATGGGCTGGCTTGGGGAACCCGAGTTCCCGCAGGAGGGTTACACACTGTTGCAAGGGCTGTAGCCCTGGGGTTTTCAAGATGCACCATTTTATCTCCTAGTGCTGGGCTTTGACAAACTTCCTCTGTGGGGCACCATCCTCATCTCGGTGGGTTGTGCAGTTCTCTGTGCCCTTATCGTCTGGTTCTTTGTATGTCCCAGGATGAAGAGGAAAATTGACCGTAAGTAACACATTGTAGCAGAAAATTTAATTTGTAATGTTGTGCTTATTTCTTTTTGTTTGGCCACCTATAAAAATCCACTGTTTGGATAGATTGACAGTCAGAAATTTTAAATAAATACTTGAGGATGTGGGTTTATCATCCAAAGTATGTTCTTACTGACCTAAAATGACATGAGACTGGTCAGAAGGAATGTTGGACCTATGCTCTGGACACAAGCTGGGAATTTAATCTATTATTTTACTACTGTACTTTGACCAGTTATCAGTGATGATAGACAAATACAAACATCGTAGCCCACATTGAGAATACTTAAGGACACTTAAGTGTTTTAATGAAAAATAACCGTCAGGTACAAAATGCTTTCATAGAGGAAACATTTACCCTAATTACTTCTGTATATAATTTCATATTTAGACATTCAAAGCTATGGCTAACGTATATGTCTGACTTTACGGTTCTCAGAATTGTAGCACAAATTGTGGAGGTGAACATTTCCAAGTGTCATTTAGGCATCATTTAGGCCATTACTACACGAGTGTTGTAATTAAACGCTAAATAAATTTTGGTATCAGTCTTAAGTCTTGTATTCCTTTCTTTATTGGTGGAGCTCTGTAGTCCTCCTCTGCCCTTTTCAGTTGCAAATGCTTGCTTAGTGATGTAGCTTGTTCTCTGGAAGGGAGGCAGCCCAGGCTGCAGTGGCCTTGAGAAGCAGTGCTGTGTCATGCGGCTGCACTGAGGCGCCTGCGCACAGTGGGAGCGAGGCTCTTGGTACTTGCTGACCTCGTTTCCCCTCAGTCTGGGAGATGATGATACAAGTCTCACTATTGTTTTATGTCCTAGCCTGTAGCTTGACTGATGCCTAAATGAGCATGTAAACTCTGGGCAGGATAGGCAGAAAATATCCCTACCTGGTTGTGGAATTTAGAATCTTAGGCACATCTCTGTTTTATAGAAGTGGAAATTAAAGTTGTCATCTTTAGTTACCTGCACTGAGCTGTGTTGCTTTGCTTGAACTCATGGAGGGAATTTTGGGGGAATTTGTTCTTTAAAAACACGAACTAGATGCAATCCAAATTTCAATCCTTTGCCAGCCTTGGCTTGAGTTACCTTTCACTACAGAACAGGTCGACAGGGAGCTAAGTATGGTTTACGTGTAAAGGATGTTAAAGAACAAGACACAGCAGAGCCCACAAAGCCTTCGCTGTCTGATCCTTTACCGAAGACTTTGCAACCCCTGATACTGAGTGTCCTGCATTGCTGGCTTCCTCCCAAGAAATAGATGGGATATGGCAGATACAACAGACAGGAAGATTATTCTGAATTTTTACTGAAGTTTACATGTTACTTTGAGATGGATTTTTTTGAGGTGGGGAAAAGGGAGATGTGGAAGAAATTGGTTTGGTCACAACCAAACAAAAACTCCTCCTCTTCTAGGAGAAATAAAGTCTAGTCCTTCGGAAAGCCCCTTAATGGAAAAAAAGAATAGCTTGAAAGAAGACCATGAAGAAGCAAAGTTGTCTCTCGGTGACATTGAAATCAGGGGTCCCATTTCTGAGGTGGGGCCTGCCACCGCGCCCCTGAGGGCTGTGGTGGAAGAGAGGACTGTCTCCTTCAAGCTGGGAGACCTGGAGGAAGCACCTGAGCGAGAGCGCCTTCCCAGTGTGGACTTGAAAGAGGAAACCAGCCTGGATGGTGCCATGAACGGTGAGTGGAATTTCTTCGGTGAGGAAATAGTTTCACTTTTCTGCTGGTGCCGAGGCTCACTGTTGCATCCTGATGCTCTTTGTATTGAGTGTTACCTTTTGGTCTTGGCCAGGTGCAGTGCAGCTGCCTAACGGGAACCTTGTTCAGTTCAGCCAGGCCGTCAGTAACCAGATCAACTCCAGTGGCCACTACCAGTATCACACCGTGCACAAAGACTCCGGCTTGTACAAAGAGCTGCTGCACAAGCTGCATCTTGCCAAGGTGGGCGACTGCATGGGCGACTCTGGTGACAAACCCCTTAGGCGCAACAATAGCTACACTTCCTATACCATGGCAATCTGTGGCATGCCTCTGGATTCATTCCGTGCCAAAGAAGGTGAGCAGAAAGGTGAGGAGATGGAGAAGCTGACGTGGCCGAATGCGGACAGCAAGAAGCGAATTCGAATGGACAGTTACACCAGCTACTGCAATGCTGTGTCTGACATTCACTCGGCCTCCGAGATGGACATGAGCGTCAAGGCAGAGATGGGTCTGGGTGACAGAAAAGGAAGTAGTAGCTCTCTAGAAGAATGGAATGACCAGGATAAGCCAGAAGTGTCTCTCCTCTTCCAGTTCCTGCAGATCCTCACGGCCTGCTTTGGCTCATTTGCCCATGGTGGCAACGATGTCAGGTTGGTGACTGAATCTTAGCATGGCTCATTCTTTTTTTAAACTGCTTAGATTTTTATAAGGCTGTGCTGTGGCTGTGGTGCTCATACCATCTGTGGGACTCTAAATATCTAGGTAGAATGAGGTAATAGTTGTTGATATAATAAAACAAGCAGGAAATTCTTTCCTTTGGAGAGATTTCTGTGGATGATAAACACAGGTACTGTTCAGAGAAGCATTTTTGTTTATGGAGATGGGACCCTTTGATAATAAATTTTGGGATGTAAGATTTATTATCATTGCTTTGTGGGATTAGTTTGTAGGCCATTGGCTTTAATTCTGTGGTTCATAAACTTGGAGCCCAGAGTTGTAGGCTCCTTATGGGAAGACAGGCCCCACATACATGGTGCCCCTCAGATCAGCTCTCTCCTTTTCTTGTGTTTGTGGGTTCCTTTCATTTCCTGTGAAACAGACCTGTTTGCTCAGTGAGCTTCAAGCTTCACTCAAGACAACTAGTAAGTTACTCATAAACTTCAGCTTGTCAATTCTGCCTGAAAAGTTATCTTTGCCTTCATTTTTTTTTTTAGCAACGCCATTGGCCCTCTGGTTGCCCTGTATCTGGTTTATGAAACAGGAGATGTGTCTTCAAAAGTAGCAACCCCATTATGGCTTCTGCTGTACGGTGGTGTTGGGATCTGTATTGGTCTGTGGGTCTGGGGAAGGAGAGTCATCCAGACCATGGGCAAAGATCTGACGCCCATCACACCCTCCAGGTAAGCTGAAAAGGCGGGTCTCTTTCCTGAGGTACACAGAGCTGTGGTGTTGCCACATGAATCACTCATTAGCTAAAGTGACCTAGTTTGTATAAGTTCTTGTTCTCACTGTTGCTGTGAACTTTTTAGATTTTACTTATTGTCTGGCCCTTAAACTTAATTTTGGTAAAATGTTTATTCAGTTCCAGTGGTCTCACAACAGAATAACTTTTTCTGAGGAAGATAGGTGTGCTAAGAGTGAATTGCTGTGTATACTCAGCCTTTGTTTTATTTGGGACCCAAGACCGACATCTACCAAATTCTCAAAAGTATAAATGTTGTTACCCAGCTTCCAGAAAACCTTATAACCTCAAATGTTAGAAGAGAGAGAATTCCCATGGCCTGATTGAAAGTAGATTTTAAGAGTTCTTGCCAATTAAAGAGGTCCATGGAGGCTTTGTCACTGAGTGGGGCACAGCAAGATGGCATTAACTTTGAGGTAGTGTTAGCTTATCAAAAATAAGCTTCATTCTTGACAAGGCACCTTATCTTCATGTGTCCACAGTGGCTTCAGTATTGAACTGGCATCTGCCCTCACTGTGGTAATTGCATCCAACATTGGCCTTCCCATCAGTACAACGCATTGTAAAGTAAGTATAATGTCACGTGCTGTGTCATTTGAATGATTTGGGTAGTATGTAGGCTTTTTTTTTCCTTCCGTACTTTGGTTTAGAAAGTTTTATGCAATGGAATCTTGAAGAGTTGCAGGTTTAGGACATATGTCAAGAATGTAAAGGCTTACCATTTTATAACTACTTGTGCCTGTTACTCTTATTTAACCAGATAATATGTATTCTCCCCAAGTGTAGACCTGACTCTGAGAGGCCTGCTGGAAGGTTGAAGGGCAGTTTAGAGCCTGTCAGGACTGAACCTCTAAGAAACCTTTTGAGCCCTAAGGTTGCTTGGTGAACATGTAGTAACTGCAGGGAAAAGGAGAATCGATTCCCTAAGGGAGGAGTGTAGTTGGCTCATCATGGAGCCTGTGAGTCACCCTTTTCTTCAGAATCTCACCATGTGATCAGATGTTAGGTCTAATAGCCTCCCTCTAGAGAACGATCTTTGGAAAACCTGCAACTTAAAAGTAACTTATAAAGCGGCTAATTATTATTAGTGCAGTTATTAGATTCCTGTAGCCTAGAATGGAAAAGAAGTGTTCTTTTCCTATCATATTTTAGCCTAGTTAACAAACTTAATGGTTGGGTTTTTATATTGCCTTCATTCTCCCACGAGTAATTTCAGCCTGTTACACACCAGCTTTCACGGGCTGTCTAGTTCAGCAGTCTGGGGCTCCTTACCTACTTTAGCTCATGTGTCTCTTTACCAGAGTCCCATTGGCACTGAGTAACCAGTTCCGCTGCCTGTTTCTCTCCTAGGTGGGCTCTGTTGTGTCCGTTGGCTGGCTCCGATCTAAAAAGGCTGTTGACTGGCGACTTTTTCGCAACATTTTCATGGCCTGGTTTGTCACAGTCCCCATTTCTGGCGTAATCAGCGCAGCTATCATGGCGTTCTTCAAATATGTCATCCTCTGAGCAGGAAGCTATTTGAGATGAGAATCATGCCAGTATTTGGGCCACCGTAGCATCCCTGCTCCTCTGAATGATTACAGTGTTACAGAAGACCCAGGACAATCTTAAAGTTTGGGAGCTGTGGGAGGAAGTATTACTTGTGCTACAATTGCTTTTGTGCTAAATATGACTTGTCTCAAAATTAGCTATTTAAATAGCCAGGTTTCCACTGGTTCCTATTGGCTGTGACTTCATGTACATATTTATCTACTTTTTGTACCCGGCTTCAATTCCATTATGTTTTAATGTCTCTGAAGATAACTTGTGATTTTTTTTTTTTTTTTTAAACACCATTCAGAGCCATTTGACAGAGTGTGCTCTGCTTGGTGATATCACCAGCTTCTGCCTGAACACGCACAGGGACTTAACAAAAACGTATCTGAAGCTTCCCTTATAGTCTCTTAGACAAATAGTCATTTGCACTCTGCCCTCCTGTTGGCACTGGCAGGTTCTGCTGGCATTTGTGGGGACTTGTGAAGGGAAGAGGTTCTTGGGCACAGTGAGAGTTTAAATTAGTAACTTCTCTGCAAGCAATTGGCTGACTTACTGCTCTGAAGAAGTAGGAAGAAATGCCTCTCTCTGGCAGTCGTTTCATTAAGATTTCTGACAGTGTGGGATGGATGAATGAAGTGGAGTGTGAGCTATGGGCAAGTTAGATGGGACAGCCTTCCATGTTCATCTGTCTACCTCTTAACTGAATAAAAAAGCCTACAGTTTTTAGAAAATTTGTTCTCCTGGTTTTTGTTCATATGTGAAGCATCGGGACTCCTGATTGGTTGACCTTACACCATTAACAAGTGACACGTACACCCAGTGTCAGGTTCCTCCTCCTCCCTGTATGGTTCCTGTGATCTCACTATACACAATGTCCTCCACGGGGACTATTGGAAGTGTAGACATTTTTCCTTTAAAAAATCAAGAAAAAAAATTTGCAACTACAGTTAACAGTCAATATTGTATTAATTTTTGGTGTATGCGGTTTTTTCTTTTAACAGCATAGCCTAGACGTTTTCACATTGGCACATACAGGTCTATTCACTGTTTTTAACACCCACAAAATTTCCTGTTTGAATGGAGTATTTTATGATTGTTTCTAGCTTTGTTATTACAAAGAATGCGCAGATGAGTGGGCGTGTGTGTGTGTGTGTGTGGTGAGCTCAACTTCATTTAAAAATCTTCAGTGTTGGGTTCCTGACCATTCTCTCTTTTACCCTTGGCCAGAATAGTTAATGGAAAGTTTGCAAAGCAACACTTAGGTTGATGTTTTCTGCCCCAGAGCTAGTTTTTGGAAGATAATTTTTGGCAACCAGACTGTAACACAAGGATAAGGCTCTGCCTGACTTGTGCCTGAGGGATTAGACTACTGGTTGGGTGCTCGCCATAGTCACTGAGAACTCGGCAGGCCCTGCACTGAGCTCTTGATGCACATTTAGCCCTTGAGACCTGCAGCAGGTCTCACCCTTACTTTACAGATGATGAAAGGGGCCTAGAAAACGTCTATGTCTTTCACAATTCATGTTAACAAAGAGGAGTTTTAGCCTTTGGGGCTGGCTGGAAGTGGCCTTGTGGCTTTATCTGAGGAAGGAGGCGGGACTGCGGTAAAGGGGAACCGGGTGCTACGCCCTGAACTGAGGCTTCTGGAGGAGATGCTCTGAGTTTGGTACTGGCCTCCTCTCCTGGAGCCCTGTGACCTTACATATCCAGACCCTGTCTGCCCTGGGATTGAATAGAGAGTAGTAATTCTCAACAGTTCCTATGGCTCAGGAAAGGACAGTTGGGAAAAAACCAAGGATATGAAGGGCACCTAGATCTGGGGAAGGGGCGCCCCAGGAATGAGGAAGAGACCAGAGGAAGTGTTTCCACATTGAATGTTATCTGTCATAGCCAGGGACACATGCTGGTGGGAACCTTCACCTATTTTCTTTGGGTACAGGTGCTCCCTTTTTATAATGCAAAACAAAAACAAAAATATTTGTTTTTAAATCAAGGTTGTATGTGTGGGTGTACAGGAGTCAGGTGATTCGATAGGCTGGTCACAGCAGGTCTGCCACCCGTTTTTGGCTTTCCTAAGGCATCGGCTTTCAGCCCTGGTTCCTCCTGTATCTCAGTGATGTTTAGTTCAATCTTCCCTTTTACATACGTAGACCCTAACCTCCAACCACCGCTGTGTAATTGGGTCTTGATTTTGGTAAGATCAATAGTCTGAGTATTTAAGAAGTAGTGCTGAGCTGCTGAGTCATACAGCAACTAGACTGTGATCACTTTCCCTGACATTTTGTTGTGTTTTGTGTGTTTTTTTTGGTTCTTGTCACTAACTCATCTCAAAACTCCACCAGCTGTCTGATTTTGTCTTGGGACCATCACAAGTGACAGGAATGGTCCCCATCTCTTAAAAGGAGCCTCACAGCTTCTAACCTGCCCCAGTCTAGACAAGCTGCACGTCTGCGTCCTGAAATCTTCCTCCTCATCCCATCATTCTGGGGATTTCTCTCAGCTCCTTTGTTAGGCTTCCCATCTCCTGTGGCCCATCTTTCCTTCTTTCTTTGTTCCGATGTTTAGGGAGAATCCCTCCTGCAGCCCCCTGAGAAAGAGTGTTGGGGAGGAGCCTTTTGAGACCTTGCGTGTCTGAACATGATTTCTTCTTCACACGTAACTGATAACCTGAATATAGAGTCAAGGCTCGAAATAATTCCCCTTTAGAGTGTTGGTGGCACTGCGTTAAGTGCTGCTGTGAAAGCTGGATCCTTTCTGGCGACTTTGCACGAGTGACCCACCTGCCTTGCCCGAAGCTCGTTGGATATTTACTCCTTAGTGTTGGAAACTTGACAGTGAGGTTAGTTTATTTTTCAGTGGACTGAGTAATTCACTCCTTTGAAGCCCAGAAATCCACATCTATATTTAGGAACTTCCTAAATTACTTCGTTATCCCCTCC